TGCTGCTGCTGCGGAAATACAATGGATTTAGTCTCTACTATTGGAATTTGGTTCTTCCGTTCCACAAAAGCCTATTCTATGGTGTGACAATATTGGTTCTACGTATTTAACCTTTAATCTAGCCTTTCATGCAAGGAGAAAACACATAGAATTTGACTTTCACTATGTTCATGACCAAGTGTTGAATAAGAAGCTAATTGTACAATTTATCTCGAGTAAAGATCAGTTAGCTGATTCCTTAACCATTGTCTTCAACGCATTTCAAATTGTCGGAAATAATCTGAAAGTCCGAAGTCTCCCCTTCAAATTGACGGGGGTGTGTGGAAGATCAAGTTGTTAATTCTATTAGATCCAACAATTCTACAGATAGATCAGATTTTGATATCTTGGAGGCAAATAAGGAGGACATACAAGTTCCTTAGTTTTTGATCAGCAGTGTACTTTGAATTTGAAAGTTCATTATTTATAGGATTGTAGTTAGTCGGCCTCTATAAATGAGACTCTGCATGATTGTAGTTTTACATACAGAAAATACAAATCATTCATAAATTCTATACATGGAAATGGGGGAAGGGGTTTTTAGGCAACATGCAAACCAGAGAGGCAGGAAACAAGAGGGAGGCTCGAAGAGGAGCCAGCCGGGGGAGACCAGACTACTAGCAATAAGGGTGGGGAAAGCAGCCGAATTGATGGGGATTAGTTTAAAAAATGTGCATTATGCTAAATTTTAAATAAGGAAATGACAACTTTAAGGGATTAAAAGATGCTGTTAAAATAAACATTCCTGAAGCAAATTCAACATCCCATATATGTTTTCCTGAAATTACTGATTTTTCATAACATTCCAGGATATTCAGAGGCCTCAACTACTGAAATATCAATCAAAATGGCAACTACTTCATGCAAACACAAAACAAGGGACTGGAAATTGAAAAAAAGAAATAAAAAAATTTAAGATAATACATCTTTATTCAAATGGTATACGTGTCTTTCTAATACTAACAAGTTAAATATTTTCAGCTTTATATCGAGGTTTATATTATTATTTCTAGAAATCTGCAACTATAAATGACTACATGTTAGCATTTAA